TTAAATTTTCAAATAAATGAATAGACTATTTTATAAATTATTATAATCTTTTAAATTGTTAAAAAATAATAGTATTTCAGCATTTACCAAAAGACTAACTTGAAAAATAATAGAGTTTTATCCTTTATAGAAGAATATAATATGATTATCTATTTCAATTTATTAGTAATATAGATAAAATACCTGTAACTTTTGATTTATCTAATTTATATATTTTATAAAAATACAATTCTAATACAATTAGTATTAAAATTACTGAACATAAAAGAAGCATATTTACAGTTATTTTAAGTTATATAGCTGATAAATTAAAATTATCATCTGTTGTTATTTTTAAATTAAAAAATATCTCTAAAGAAATATTTCTTAATGGTATATTTATAAATATAAATATAAAAGAGTAAATAAAATAATTTAATAAATAGAAAATATCTGATTAGACGAATTGTTAATAACTTTAATTCTAATTTACTTCTTATTTTATATTTTTTTATAATTATTTAATTAACTTTATTAAACAAAAATTATATATCAATTAATAAAACTTTAAATAAAATATAAGTATAATTAATTAAAAAAATATGTATTTATAACATTCTGTTACATGTCTTATTTATAATACCTTTTTTTATTATTCTTAATAATAAATTATTTTATTAAATATTTTATAAATAAAATTTTTAAATGCAAAATTTAATTTAAAAAACTTTTACTTAATGTATTAAAGACAGTTTTATAGACAAAATTTTTAATTACAAACAGTTTTTTGAAATTTTTTAAAAAATTCTTATTTTCATAATACAACTGATCTTTTATTTTGATTTGCTAAATTATTAATATTATACCTAATCTTAAATTTTGATTGAATAAAATTTGAATATTACAAATAAGATATGTAATAAGATGTTACAATTAGATTTATACATTAATTAATTTTTAATTTATTTTTATATTTATTATTATATAAATTAAAAGAATTTTAATTAATAGATTTATAAATTTTATAATAAATAGATAATAAATAAATTTATAAATTAATTTTATTTAGATGTATTAAAAACTTTTATATTCTTTGATATATTTATAAGTAAAAGATATATAAGAAAAAGTAATACAATTTTAATTTATAAATTATTTAACTATTATGATATTTTAATTAAAACTGATAATTCTAAAAGTAACATGATTTTTAATTATAATAATCTTATAGCAGATAAAGAAAATAATAAGTTAATTAAAAATAATAAAATTTAAGAAAAGGATTATAATAATTAAAATAAAATTAATTTTGCTAATATTTGAATAAATAATAAAATCTGATTTTAAATTTTAAATTGAATAAAAATTTGAATTTGATAAATAAATATTATAATAATATATTAATTATATGATATATATAGTTTATAGCTATTTTCTGATTAAAACAAAATACTTTTATATAAATTATTTGAATCTTTTATAAAATTTTAACCTAAAATTTTAAAAGAGTATTTTAATTAGAAGATTATTTTATCAGTATTTTATGGTAACTGTTTTTTATCTTTATTGTTAAAGTTTGAAATTTTACTTTTTATTATTTCAACTCTAGCACTGTTTAGACAAATATTAGAATATAAATACCATTAGATATATTTTAAAAATCAAATATTTTGATATTTAACTTAATTCTATCAATATACAAATTATTATGAGTATCTATTTTCTATATTTTTTATGTTTTATTCATAATTACCTTAAGGTTATTAAACTAATTTTACATTTTTATTTCATTTTAATTTAATTCAAACTTATTAATTATATTCAAGTATATGATAATCTTATTAAGAAGATTTTTAAATTAGTTGATTTTTATTCATTTTAAAAAGTTTACAATAATAATCTAAATACAATTAGTGTATTAATAAACTTAAAAATATATTATAAAGCTTAAAAAAGATGAGTTTAGTGAAAAAATTATCATAGTTTGCAATTAACTAATTTATATTTTTTTTTGCATTTGTATTTTTATTTATGAATTATAATTATTTAATAAATCTTTTTTTTTTGATTTTAAATTTCAAATTTTTTTTTAGTTTTATAATTTTTGACTTTAAATCTAAATATTTCTGTTCAATTTTATAATTTTTAATTTAAGTTTAATCTGAGCTATAAAGAAGAATATGATTAAACTTATACTTTTATTAAGATATAAATACTTAGATTAAGGTTGTTAAATAAAATCTAGGGGTTTTGCAAGTTGTCTAAATAGAAAAAGATAAAATTTAGCAAAATTATATTAAAACCTTATTAAAAAATCTGCAAAATTCTAAAAAAATAAAACTATATCAAAGCTTATAAAAATGCGAAACTATATCAAAATCTTAATAAAAATTTAGCAAAACTATAGTTTAAACATTTTGTCAAATCTAAAATGAGTTTAGATAAGTAACTTTAACTTAGATAATTTGTTTAAATCTCAAAGTCTTTAATTATAGCTTTATAACAGGTATAGAAAAAATACACAAAAATAATCTATTCTACTTTATATATATTACTTTATATTTTTAATACTCAAGTCACAAACTTATTACCTTATAATAGCTGAAAGTTTGTCTAATATCATTTTTCAAAACTTTTTCTTTTCTTTGTCTTTATATTCATACTCAATAACCTTTTTTATAACTCTATCAGTAACTTTTTATCTTTTTCTTTAAATTGCTTAATATTTACTATAGTTCTATTTTTATTTTCAATAAAAAATATAAAACATGATATAATATATTATTATATATTAATTATAGTAAATAACTTTTATATAAATATTGATCAGTTAATTGACATAATTTTATATGCTTTTTTGTTATAATTTTAACTTTTATATAATATAAATATATAATATTACTAATAATTTTGAATTTTATCTTACATAAATCATTTATTTTACTTTTTAAAGCATTTTATTATAAATTTAAAAAGTTAAACAGTCTGATAGTTTTAAGAAGATCTTTTTAAATATGTTATTTATTATCCTTTAATTTGTCAAAATTTGTAAGCAAATTTGCTTATATAATTTCTAAATTTTACATTTCATTTATTTTTAAATTTCTTAAATAATTTAATAAATTTTTTTATTTTTATGTAACTTACTTTATGAATTTAAATTTAAATTATTATTTATATTTTTCTATACTTTAATAGTATCATACTATTAATTAAATTTTTATAATTTTCATTTTTTGAATTTTTTAAAAATTTTCAATTTATATTTAACAATTTTTTAAATATTTATTATAATTATACAGATGTTGATCAAAATTATATGTATATTTTTCAAATCAAAATATTTATACAAAGAATATGCTAGAAATAAAATAGAGGTAAAGTATATTCCTTTATTTAAATTTTACAAAAAATTCTGATAATAATATTTAATTCTCTTTTGATTTTCTATGATATACTATTGATCAATTTTTTATAATATTTTAGAGGAATGTCTTTCTAAGTATCTATAACATATTTTCAAGTTTTCAGATATTAAATAGTAGGAGAATGTAATATCAAACTATTATCTTCATTTTTAGTCAGAGATTTTTATTAGGTTCAAGTTTAAATTCTGGGTAGGTCACAGAAGTATTATAATTTCAGCATTTCACAAGCAGTATTAGCAATTTTGAACAGTGTGATGTGGTATTATCTTCTTAAAAGATTTCATTATCATGAGAAAAATACTTCTGTAAGGTAAGAACAACATATTTTCAAATAGTTTTAGCATGTGTTTTATGAGTAATAGAATCTTTTAAAGAAACAATTGGTCTAAACATATTTCTAATTGTATAATGATATCAATTTTCTATTAACTGTTTTTAAGTACATACTTTCTCAAAGTGCATGTACTGTACATATCTGGTTCCAAGGCTTTAATTTATTAATTAAATATACCTTTATTAAAAAATTAATATCGTATAACTCCGATAATAAGCACAGTGACATTCTCCTTTTATAGTAATTTATTTATTTAATTAATCGTCACGTTTATACTAACAAATGCATATATATCACAGGTGCTTATTCTGCTTATTTTCGATTTTCGGTATTACTGTAGTTGAATTATAAAAAAAAGTAGTACAATTTTGAACCAAAATTCGATGTATGTGTCTGTACTTGAATAAAGATCTAGAACCTCGGCGGCGCTATTTGTTTCTTTATAAGTTACACAGTAAAAAAATTGAGCACGCATTAAACGTGACAATTAAGATCATCAAATTTAAAGTAATAATCTTTTTAAAAAAAGAAACAAATTGCGTTTGAACATTGGTTGTTATTGAAGGTAATTAGACATATTTTTTTATTTAAATAACATTAGAAATAAAACACTCTCCTACTGTAAGATTGCAGCCAAAGCTGGTACGCACCCCATGTAACATCATGCTGCTCCATTATATACAACGAAAAGAAAAGAAGAGAAAATTCGACAATAAAAACAAAAAGTTAGGGAGAGCAAAATTTATTTCAAAGGTTGAGGTCAGAGAACGACCTTTTTTACAATAACAGTAAATATAAAAAGTTTTTCACTGGTAGAATTTGATTTCGATCATTTGCTTTTACATACTTATCGTCACTCAAAAAAAAAAAAAATTAACGGTATATATAAGAATATTTGTATCTAAATATTGTAGTAATTACTAAGTTACAGTATATAAAATTATTTTATGAAAGTTTCTGATTTACTAATTTACCCCACGATATGATTGGCTGGTATAATTGAGATTAGTGACACTGGTGATGTAAAAAAAAGCATCAAAATATAAATAAATAGGGGTAGAATTTCTTGGCGTAGTACTCACATGAACAACCCTATGTTGGTGTAACAAAAACAGGGGCAACGGCGATAAACCTATTAAACTTGACGTAATACGTGATAAATCGTTTGTTTTTTTTTCTCTCTCTTTCTTGCTGTCTTCAACACTTTAATGTTAGGAAAGTAAATTTCAACTTGTAGGTGAAAAAAATCTTTTATAATAATGGAAAATTATCAACAAAAAATCGATGACCTTTTAAGAAAAGCTAAATCTCAAGGTATATTTATGAAACTGGATCGTACAACAAAAAAAAAGATCGGGATTTAACATTACTTTAATGTAGGCGCTGCGAGAGCTGCGAGAGCCAATAAACCTTTTATTACTAATATTGTAGTTGCAGAAAAAACTAGGGAGGATCTAAAATCTTTAAAAGATATTTGGAGGGGTATGGACGCTACGGGTGAGCGTTGAAATTAATGAACGAATATCATGGTTATCTTTCTCACAAACATATATCACTACACTAGACTCCAGGAATACCACGCCAACAATTGGGTTTCGCAAGACAGGAAAGTCAACTAAAGGTAAAAAACCAACAAAATCGAGTACTCGTAATAAGAAGAATCGAACAAATTGGCAGCCATATCATCACTCCAACATGGTAGTTAAAAACTTTATTTGATGAATTCAAAAAAAAAAAAAAATAGTAATACTAAATTCCATCGTTATGTAATTAACATATTAGGAAAACGTCCCGGTTCGGTCACCAACTTTTTCGGAAAGTTCCAGTATGAGTACCGATGAAGACGGGGACGTATTGATGTTGTCAGCTGCATCCACTCCAACAGAAATAACTCCTACAAACAGAAAATTTCTAAACAATTACTTTCCAAAGGGCAAACGCAAACCAAGATCAGCCGAATTTATTATCGGTGATAAGTTGAATGATGCATCACCTGATACTTTGCGAATTTTTAATGCAATTCAATCCAATGATTCCAATGGAGAGCTCGACTTGGATAAAGAATACAAGTTGGATAACGTAAGTATATATTGTTTAATATTTGCCTTTGAGTTGTTCCATCTGTGATTAACACATGATTGCATAAAATTACAGCCCTTCCTAATTACTAAGTCAAATTAGCCATTTTAAATATTTAAATTGAGCAGGGAAGTGATGATATTTTTTAAATAATCATTTCCTAAAAAGGAAATACGTCACGTTTTAAAATGTAAAATTTATATATATTTATTTAATTATAATATATATATTTTTTTATTTAAGCATTTCATTTGCGTCCCTTAAAAAAAAAAGGGTACTGTAAAGTAATTTGAGTTAAACTCGGGTTACAAAATCTTGTAATGTTTGTAGCACAAGTTGTGACATTCTTTTTGTTTACATGCACGCAATGAATGAACGAAATACATGAAATACAGGAATTCTTCCTGATAATGCAAGTAAATTTTTATTAGGAAAAAATTATCAAATAATTTATAGATTCTTCTTCATTTTTATATAACCTTTGTAAAAGATAAAAGTGATTTTCTTTTGCTATGAAAGTAAATTCATTGGTCAGAAGATCATAAAATTGAGAAATAGATCAAAAAATATAAAATTTATTAGTTGTACGGATATGCATGTGCGCATAGACTCATACAGACTTAAAATTACGAACGCTTTTTACAACGAACTTAGATGAGATATTATTATTCGATAACGGAAAAAAATTAGATCCTAAAGATCAACATCAATATAAATAAATGTGTTACCACACATATTTTTGTAATAAATAAAATAGGATTTTTCGTACAACTTACCGAATTTGATTTGCTAAATGAATATTTTTTGGTTTATGGCTGGTAAACGTGGTCTATCTGTATAAAATTTATATAAATGATGGGTTTCTTTTTTGAAATGTTTGGAAAATTTTCATTATTTTTACAATAGAATAAGTTCATATTTATTATATATCACGCGTGCTCATAAAATAAATTTATTTACATTTTCAAAATATTCTTTTAGTCATGAAAAATATACTTAATCTAAACGAAGACAAAGTTTCTTTGTTAAACGATGATATAACAAGAACAAGTGATTACGGAACGTTTAATGAACAGCCTTCAATAATCAATGAGCTACAAAAAAACTCACAACAAAGTACCAAACTTGAATGTGGTCAAAGTTGCTTTATTAATCCCATAGCTGGTTGTGCAAAACTTTGTGGATCTATACCTTCCCCAACAACTTTAGTCGTCAAAAACAGCGGGTCCACCGCCCGTGACAATTGCTGTAAGTAATAGTAAAATGGTGATTTTAAACTTACTTTATCGTTTGCTTTACCTTTTTTAATCAGTACGCTTTACCTTTCTTTAGCAATCGAAAGAACTTTTTTGTCTTGGTTGCGCATGTCAACAACTCTGGTATTGCTTGGAATGTCTTATTTCTTACGTTTTGATATATTTTCACAACCTTCTGCCAACGAAAACTCTTATTCAAAACTACTCGGCCTATTTCTCATCGGATTGGGATTTACCGTGTTAATATGGGCTCTATGTAATTATTTTCAATTTCAACGATTATACGCATCTAGATACGCATTTATTGAGAATGGCGTACTTTCTTTTTCGATAGCTGCATTGGTGGGTGCTACCATTTTTTTGTTGCTAGTTTGTGATATCTTGCAAGATGTGGAGCAAGAGGATAAAATAGAAAACGGTACTAATTTATATACCATAAGTTTTATTAGATGATGGGAAAAAAAAGATAGTTGATAAAAAAAAAAAAACGACATTATTTTTATTAATTAAATAATTTAGCATATGTAAAAAAACCACATCATAAATGTTGTACCTATATTAAAATACATTGGCGATTTACATGCATTATCACCTTTTATAGACATATTACACATTAAGGGTTTTGTCATCTGTTAAAAAAAGGGAAACCAAAAAAAGGAATTCTATTTTTTTGTCTTGATTTGCATGTGTTGTGACGAGGCGAAAATTTAATCGAACCATTAAAATATACTCATTCGTCTCTATGAGCCGAATCCAATAACTATTTGGTTTGTTAGCTGGTTATTAAAGATATCCAAGCGAAGGTCGGAAGCTGTGTAACATGCCCATTGATGAGGCCACAGCCGAATTCTCTGTTATAGAAATAAGGGAAAACAACGCAAAACATTGGTGTTTCGGGAATTTTCCGAAAAAATTTAATAAACAAAAAAAAAAGATATGTTTATTTAAAGTTTAAAATATTATATAATCCAATAATCATTACACGTGAAAGTTTTCTAATCTAATCATCTTTTTTTCTAGATTTCACTTGTAAGCAAATTTACTTAAGATTTTAAATAAATCCATAAATTCTTTTTTTTTAAAAATGTAAAGATAATAACAAACTATTTTCGAAAGTTTTTATTTTTCATTGAAATTATTTCGTTTACAATAAATTTATTCAATTAAATCAAATTGTTTTCTTAAATAAACAAATTAAAATTGTTTTTTCAATTGATTGTATTTTAAATTTCTATTCAAATTCATTCTCTTATTTATAAATTTTTAATTTTTAATTATTATTAAATTATTTTATACTTATAAATCTTTTATTATTGATTTATTATTATTTTTCAACATAATTACTTTATTATCTCTCATTTCACCTATTATTTCAATATATAAGGTCAAAATTATAATACGATTAAATTTAAAAGAAATAATAAAGTCAAAAGCAAAAAAAAAATTTAATAATAATTCTATAATAAAATTTAATTCTATTTTAATTTTCTTTTCATATTCATATTTTTCTTTATTTCTTCACTAAATAATATTATTATAAAATCCTTTTTAAATAATATTTAATAAAAATTTTTTATAATGAAGTTCTTTATTAAATGATATCAAATTAAAAAAAAATAAAATCCATTATTAAATATACTAATCAAATTTAATGTTTAATAATTTATAACAGTTAATATAAGATTATTTAATACATTTAAATGTTACAAAAATTATATTAATTTATTAATATTTTACTAATAATTTATTTAAAGTATTAAAATTTGAAAATATATTATACTAATATATTAAAACAACTTTTAATTATAAATATCTTTTAAAAAATCTTTTAATTAACATTTTTATTCTATAATAATCTGATTAGATATCATTAAAGTATAAAACTTCCTATTAAATAGAATAATAAAATTAGAGCTTTGAATTAGATCAAGTCAACCTATTTAGGCCACTCAAATCTAATACTTTGTTTAACATAACCCTTCCTCTTCTTATTAAATAAATAAAAGTTAATTAAACAATATATATATTGATCATGTGATTATAATTTTTTCGTAATAATGATCAGTTCTTTTTATTATAATTTTTATTCTAATTAAAGTAAGATTATCATAAGCCATATGTAATACAGATTTATAAATACTTTTTATCACGCAATTGAAGATTCTATTACACAATAGATTTTTTTATTATATATATGCTTAAAGAAGCTAAAACAATCATTTCAGATAAAGTTGTAAAGATATCATTGACAGATAATTTGCAGCTTCACAACATTTTTAATGCAGCAATAAGTAACCAGTTTGAAAGTTGTAATGTTCAATTGTTTTTAAGAAAACCTTCAGAAAAATGGATTTATATAGAAAAAGATTGCAGAATGATATAACAATATTATTCGAACTGAAATTTACTCATATTAAATTTATTTTAGAAGCAACAGAAGTTAATATTCAAAAACCTAGACCAAATGCATTTAATTTACTAATAAAAAGTTCACAACTTATTTGTCTTCTAGAGTAAAAAAAAGAAGATACTTGCTGGGATTTACTTATAATGATATTATTAGATTATTATAAAATAAAGAAATTAGATGGAAAAATAGAATGCATAATACTCTTGAAAAAAAGTTTTGTTGAATATCTAACTGCAACATTATGATATATAGATTTACATCACATAAAATTTATAGAGCGATCATTTCCACTTGAAAAATTATTTGATGAGTTAAATTAATATCAACAAAATCAATACTACAATCTTTTCTATTTTACTGAAAAATATGCCAAATTTAATCTTAGCTGTGATAAAATTATACAAATAACTTCTTCATTAAAATTATCTATAGAACAACCATAGGCAACTAATGAATAATGGTATAATATTATTAAAAAAATTTTTATTTTAATATCTTTAATGCAAAAATATGCAGAAAATTTGACACAAATCAACCAAGCTATGAAATAAATACATTTAAGTAATATATCTGCACGTTATTCAACTAATATTATAAAAGTATATACAATTAATTCCTGTTAAAAAGTTAATATACAATATAAACAACTTCAAGATTATCTATCTAATATAGATAATTATACTGAAATTGATTTGAAAAATTTTTTACCTGAAAATGTGATGAAATGGTACCATTATATTGTAGACCTTCAAATACAATTTCCTGTTACTTTATATTAGTATTATTAAGGTAACTATCTTAGTATTATTAATTATATTTGAAAAGTTTTATCTAGTCCTAAAAAATGATTAGAAACTGCATAGGCATGTGTAATGGCAAATATTCAAGAAAAATTACCACAATATTTTAGTCAAAAAATGCGAAAAAATACATTAGGAAAGGTATAAGTATATTACAGTATATTTATTATATTTAAATAGTATAACAGATAATAGATTAATAGTATATTAATTTTAAAATATAATTATAACAGTATTCATTAGTTAAAACTATTACACTTACTATTTTATGTATTTTATACCATGACTTAACTGGTAATATTACTGTAATATCAAATAATATAAGTAAAGAGTTAGAGAAACAACTTTGTATTATATTAGTAATAGAAGATCCATCGATTATTTGTAATTTATGCCAAAATAATAGATTTAAGAGGACTAAATTTGATATTTTTTGAAAAGAAATGAATGCTTATTTTAATGAGGTATAAATTATTTTTATTTTTTTAATTAATAAAAAAAAATATTTATTTGATTTTTATTTTTAGAATTTACTAGTAGTTAATGATTATTAGCATGAAAATATTTTTTATATGTCACTTACTATTTTAATATGTAATTTGCGTAATATAATTATTCAACATTTAAATAAAAATTTTACAACTGAAACTGTTTTAATTCTAAGTAAAAAATGGATTCATTTACAGTTTCAACTAGCAAATCTAATATTAGAGAGTGCCAAATAATATATTGAACATTTTAATATCAAATTTATAGTTCAGATAAGGTAGCTTTATAAAGATCACCCATATATGTATTATTATATAACTCTTTTTTGATATTTACGAGAATTGCAATTTTATACAGAAAGTATGTTTCATTTATCTGTGCTGATAATAAATATAAAGTTCTTATTGGAAAAGATATTAATACTTCTACTAGTGTACATAACAAAAAAACTATGATTTTTCAAGAAACTCCTTTAGTTGTATATGATCATAATTTTATAAAATTATCTTTTACCCCTTCAGTAATATTTTTTTGTAATATTCCTAATCAATTAAAAATTCTTTTTATAGTAAAGAGGTATTTGTTTTATTTAAAAATACTGTATTTCAGCCCAGTAGTACTATTAGACATATTACTAAATTCTATAATGCAATTCGCATCCATAATTTTGATAATATTCCTCCAATTCTTTGTCTTTATACTGATAGTAAACCAGACCATCACACAACATTTGGTTCAGTTTAAATTTCTCTTATATGTTTATTTTTACATAAGAATTTTGATATGCTTATTGCGATACGTATAGCATTTCACCATAGTTAGACTAATCTAGCTGAAAGAATTATGTTTATTTTGAACCTGAGTTTGCAAGGCGTAGCAATAATTAGAGATACAATAAGCCAAGAATCAGAAATGGTATTTGCTAAATTGGATACACTAAATAAAATTTGTGTTGCTGCTAAAATAAATTCAACTTTGCAGAGCAATTTATGTGAATGTATAATTTGTGTATAACAATTATTAAAAGAGCGCACAAAAAGGCTGATTTTATATAATAAACCATTTCAAAGCTATAAATTGGCAGAAAAAATAGAGATTGAAGAATTATTTAATATAAGTATTTAAATTTTAATTTAAATAAATTCAATATTGTAAATTAACATATTATTACTTTTGTTTTTTTTAGATAATTTTATTAATTGATCAAACTTTGAAGATTTTGAAAACAACAAGTGATATTTTATCAAAAAAAACACAATTATAACAATTTATAAACACATTATAGATAATGACAATATGTTTTTCAGGTATATATTCTTTATTTTATTAAATATAAATATTAAGCAATTATAATTTTTCATTTTTTTTAAATAGATAAAAAAATGTAGGCAGCTATTGTGTATGATTTGTAAATCTATTCAGCTTTTACATAATATCTTTAATTTACTTAATTGGCTACCAGATCCTATTCCTTCTATAGGTATATTTTTTATTATAATATTTGTAATATATAACATTAAAATTTGGATTAATAAGCAAATTTTTTAACTATAGTGGATAAAGATTATTATGGTAAATTTCAAATAGCATATCAGTCAGAAACAATAGAGCAGTATTGTCTAAAACTTATATCAACAATTACAAGTAGTAAATGGATGCAATCATCCATTTTAGTAAATATCTGTGTTCATAAATTTATTCAATATTTTCAATGTGGGAAAACACGTTATTTATATAGTGAACATGCATTATCAGCAGAAGATAAAATAGTATGCCAGATTATCATAGATAAGTAGGATTATAGTTGTGAATCACTATTGGTACCAGAAAGTCACAATCTATATAATAAAGTTTTTGTACAAGAAAAGATTAGTTGTGAAATACCAATGGAATTTTCATATTATTCATACTAAAAGTCTAATATTAATCATAATATTTGTTATTAGTGTAAACATGATAATAAATTAGTAGAACCTCCAGAAAATCTTAAATTAAAATACAATTCCTTATTCCCATGCTGTTTATTGTATTGAAATGCAAGAAAAGACATTTTTGCATGAAATGAAATTAAAACTAATACAAGAGTTGTAAAGAAATGTAAGATTGACAATTAAATAATGAATAAGTTGGTTATTTTAATCCTCCAAAGTTGTATTTATTAAAATATATAAATTGAGATTAATATTAAGGACCCAGTAAATACAGCAAATCCTATAACTAAAAATAAAATATGAAATATTTCTAAACTTCTTCATAAATATAAGTGATAGAAAAACCTGTGTCAAAATTCCCAAAGCTTCCTATAATATAAACCTTGAATATTTGAAGTTATAGGATCCATTTTCTACAAAATAAAAAAATAAACGTTAATTTCATTTTTTGAAAGAAATTCCTAAGCTTCCCTATAATATAAACCTTGAATATTTGAAGTTACAAGATCTGTTTCCTACAAAATAAAAAAAAAAGTTTATAATTCTGTTTCTTAAAAGAAATTTCCAAAGCTCACATACTAACCTTTAATGTTTGAAATTATAGGACACATTTTCTATAAAATAAAAAGAAATATTACTTCTGTTTCTTAAAAGAAATTCCTAAAAGTCTTCTATAATATAAACCTTAAATATTTAAGTTATAGAATCCATTTTCTACAAAATAAAAAAAAAAGAAACGTTTATAATTTTGTTTCTTAAAAGAAATTTCTAAAACTTCTCATAATGCACCTAGTTTATAGTGGTTTAGTCCTGATTTCAGATCCAATTAATTATGTGATTTATTATGTATTTATATGTTATTCAAATGTGTTTTTTTTTCTTCCTCCCTCTGAAATAAATTCTAGCCTTGTTATGTTAAACAATATATTAGATTAACCTGACCTAATATTACTAAACAAGTAAATTATTTTATTAATTATCAGTATTTAATTATACTTTTTACTTTAATTTAAATCTAATTAAATTAAATTTTTTATTTTAATAATTTAGATTGTAAGTTTTTATTGATTATTAGTATTCATTATACTTTTTATTATAATTTAAATTCAACTAAATTTTTTATTTAAAATCAAAATATCATTAAAGAAGTAAATTATTTTTATTGATTATCTGTATTTAATTATATTTTTTATTATAATTTGAACTTATCTAAATTATATTTAAAAAATTTTAATAATTAATAAATATAATAGATGATAAGTTATTTTTATTGATTATTAGTATTTAATTATACTTTTCTGTAATTTAAATTTAATTAAATTTTATTTTAATAATTTAGCTTATAAGTTATTTTATTAATTATTAGTATTTAATTTATTTTAAATTTAACAAATATTTTATTTAAAATATAAAATATTACTAAAAGAAGTAAGTTATTTTATTGATTATCAATATTTAATAATACTTTTTATTATATTTAAATTTAACTAAATTTTTATTTAAAATACAAAATATTACTAAAGTAAGTAAGTAATTTTTTTTTGATTATAGATATTTAATTATACTTTTTACTATTATTTAAACTCAATTAAATTTTATTTTAATAATTTAGATTGTAAATTATTTTTATTAATTATTTAATTATACTTTTTATTATAATTTAAACTCTACTAAATTTTTTATTTAAAATATAAAATATTACTAAAGTTGGTAAGTTATTTTTATAGATTAGTATTTAGACATTTTATAATAAAAAAGAAGAAAATTACTAAAAAATTTTTTGAGTTAATGTTAAATTTATTTTACTTAAAATTATAATATTTAGCTTATAAAGCGGTTTTCTTTTTTTTTTTATTGTAAAATGTCTATTTAATTATACTTTTTACTATAATTTAAATTTAACTGAGTTTTATTAAAAATATTTAATAATTAATTTTATAATAGATAATAAGTTATTTTTATTAATTATAATATTTAATTATACTTTTTATTCTTAACTAAATTTTTTATTTAAAATATAAAATATTATTAAAGTAAGTAAGCTATTTTTAGTATTTAATTATATTTTCTATTGTAATTTAAATCTTTTATTTTAATAATTCAGATTGTAAGTTATTTTTATTGATTATTATTATTTTAATTATATTTTATTATAATTTAATTTTAATAATTAATAAGTATTTAATATAAAAATATAATAAACTTATTAAATATATTAATATTATCAATTAAGTAGTATTATATTTTATCATTTAAGTTATAATAAAATAGTAATTATAATACTAAAAATATAAATTATTATATAGAAAAAGAAATATATTTAAATTGTAATAAATAAAATACTGAATATAAATAGTGTAAAGAATGTAATTCTAGATTATTCAACAAAAATTTTTTAATTGAACTAGTAATAATAAATTTATTGATAAATTTATTCAAGAGACTTAAATAAATGCTTAAAATAGAAAATAAATATTAGAATAAATTCCTTATAATAAATTTGAAGATATTAAATATTTAAATAAAGAAGAATTTAGTACTATATATAAAGCTATTTGGTTAGATAGATTTATTAAATATTATTTATATAAAGATAAAAATTGGATTAGAAATGATAAAACTAAAATAATTCTTAAAAATTTTGATAAGTCATCAAATTTAGATGAATAATTTTTAAACGAGATATAAATTATTAATTATTTGTAATTTTAAATAATTAGATTTTATATTAACTTTTATTATTTAAGTGAAAATATCATTATAGATATTATAGTCAATTAAAATACTATTTAAATGAAAATCTTATTTAATTATATGGATTTACTCAAGATCTAAATATATTAAATTATATAGTAATAATGAAGTATGCAAAAAAATAATAATTTAAAAAAAAATTTAACAAAAATAGTTAAAGAAAAATGGATTATAAAATTATTAAAATTATCTAATATTATTGATGGACTTAATGAAATATATCAAAAAAATCTTATTCATTGTGATTTTCATTATGATAATATTTTGAATATTACAGATAATATTTTTTCAATTAGTGATTTAGGATTATGTAAACTTATAAAATATTTTTAATTATTTAAAATAATGATATTTATAGTGTATAACTATTTGTAATATTTGAAGTATTAAGAAGTCATTCTTATACTTTATCTAGTAATATATATAGTTTTTCTATGATTATGTGAAAATTAATATCTGAAATTCCTCTATTTAATGATTAAGCATATGATTTTCAACTTGCTTTAAGTATTTATAAAGGTAGACATTCTGATATTATTACAGATATTCCACAATATTATATAAATTTAATAAAATAATATTGGATAATAATTTATTAAAAAGACTAAATATATTAAAAATTAAAATAATTATTGATAATTGGTATAATAATATTAATAAAGAAAATTTTGATAAAAAATTAAAACATGAAATTATAGAATTTTATAAATCAGATAAAGCTTTAAAATAAAAAAAAAAAATCATAATATTAATATTAAATTACATTTACAAGCATATTATATAAGTAGTTTACTTAATTTTACTGAAAAATTAAATAAATTTTAGATTATGATTTTGAAAAAACAGAAATTAGTAAAAGTATTAGTAATTATTTTAAAATTTATAAATTATTAATTATAAGAATTTTAATTTTAATATATTTAATTTATAGAAAATTTAATTATTATAAAAGATAAAATCAACAAGTAACTTAAGTAAATATTATATATTTATTTATAAAAGATTAATTAATTTTATTTTAAAATAAATAAAGATATTTAAAAATTTAATTATTTAATAAATATTATATATAGAGTAGCTATTATATAATAAAATATAGTTTGTAATCATTAAATAAATTTTTTATATATAAATTAAATTATTTATTTATTTATTATAAATTATGAATAAATATTTAAATTATTAATGATTTATTATATAAATAATAATTTCTTTTAATTAATAAATCTAAATATATTTTTAGATTATTACTTTAAATATATAGTAAATTACAAGAAAAACGAAATGTATATTTATTTTATAGCTCAAATTTTAAAGAATATTCTAGCAAAAATTTAATATTTAATTAATAATATCAATTTAATGATTTACATCAAAATTTTTTTCTTTATCTCAAATTGATTATATAAAGTGATATGCAAAAAATGTCAATTTTTATTGCAGTAGATCATTATTATGTAACTTTTCTAATTTTAATTGTATATATGTAAATAAATATACAAAAAAAGTCTATAATTAAGATATTATTTTTAAGATAAAACTTTTCCTATACTTTAATAAAAATTTAGTTTATTGAGTTTTAAATTAATTTTTATCAAAGTAAAAAAACTTAATATTGAAAAGAAAATATTTTTAAAAAAAGAAATATATAATGCTACTAAAATACATATATTGATAAGAATTTCATATAAAACTATCAATAAATTTTAAAAAATTAGAAATTAAATATAAAAATAATATAAAAATACTTTAGAAAGATAGTATTTTAATTATTTTATTAAGTAATTTAATTATTTACTAAGTAATTTTTCAAAAATAATATTTTAAAGATTATGTATTAGTCATTCAATAATTTAGATCTAAAATTCATTAAAAATTACTAAGTAATTATTAAAAGAAATATGAGATTATATAGCGATAGGTTATAAAACTTTAGTAAATTAAAAATTTTATAAGTAATAAGTAAAAAAAAAAAATCAAATAGTCTTATAATTGATTTTGTAAATTTAATATTACAACATGTAAAAAGATTATTGAAAAAAATGGTAATAAATATTATATATATATTTTTTAAATAAAATCTACCATTTTTTAGTTTTAAAATGATATAT